AGACTACTTTTTTGTTCCGGCCGCCCAGACCTGAATAATCACACAGAAACTATGTTAATTGCAACACTGTTTGGCCTAACTAACTCTTATATCTTAAATTAAGCCATCTCCATTAATCTGTTTATCAACTACTGGTAAGGTTCCAAAATCTCTCTCCCGTGGCAGCTACATGGTGTCTCCCTGACTCAGCCTATTGTCTCTATATCTCTGTTCCGATTTCCCGCCTGGCTTCACTCTGCTAAGCCATTGGCCCGAACAGCTTTATTCATCAAACAATAAAAGTAACACATATACAGAAAGACTTCCTACATCACAAACCATTGTATTTCAAAAATTTAGAAAACAAGTATCTTATATTTCATCAGTTTTATGATTTTTGTTTTTGAGACAGAGCACTGCTATTCATTATTTAGAACAGGATGAACCAAAAATCAGTATGTAGCCCTAGTACCTGAATTACACATGTATGCTAAATTCTCAAAAAATAATCCAAAAAACTTATATTCATAGAAAAAAGAATGTTACCATATAACAATGTTTTTGAAGGATTCTTTCAGGGTGTTGGGGGGACAACGACAGAGTAACACATTTTTTTTTTTTGAGACAGGGTTTCTCTGTAGCTTTGGAGCCTGTCCTGGAACTATCTTGTAGACCAGGCTGGCCTCGAACTCACAGAGATCCGCCTGCCTCTGCCTCCAGAGTGCTGGGATTAAAGGCGTGCGCCACCGCTGCCCGGGCAGGACAACACAATTACTAGAGGGCCAACCCATACACAATACTTTCCCTTTCTTCTTTTTTGAGAAATAAGCTTAAACTAATCTAGAAGTAGGGATACTTCTGCTTCAGCTTTCCAAACACTCAGATTATGAGGAAGTGTTAGATTATAAATTTGTGCACCATACCCATCTCTAATCTTAATTTTCTACTAGACAACGAGCCACTTTATGGAAGACCACAAACACTTTCTATTTGCCAGGCAGCTGCAGACACTTATGTCTGCAGTTCCTGCCCTTAGGAAATAACTGGCAGGAGGATAGTATTTGAGGCCAGTCTTTGAAACCACCCGAAAACAAAACAAAACAAAAAAGAAATGCTGAGCTGGAGAGATGGCTCAATGGTTAAGATCACTTGCTGCTACTGATTTCAGAACCCACATGGTAGCTCATCAAAGTCTAACTCTGGGTCCAAGGAATCCTTTTGACCTTCAAGGGAACAAGGTATGTATGTAGTACACATACATACATATATGTAGGTAAAACACCCACATACACAAAATAAAAAGTTTTAAAAAAGAAATGCCTTCGTTGACCATCACAATGGAAAAAAACTTCTCAATTAATTATATGTAACAGAATGGAGAAACAAACAATAATGGGTGATCTTAACTAGTAGCCGATGTCATAACTTTTAAATATTCAGGGCTACACAGTAGATAGGATCCTATCTCAATCAATCAATAAAATGAAACTATCTTGGGGCTGAGCCAAGGCTCAATTGCTGCTTGTCTAGCACTAGTGGAGCCCAAGGTTTCATCTCAAGCACCACGTGGATAAAGCAAGAAAGCATAACATGAAGAAATGGAGGCATGTTCAGAAATAGAAGGTAGGGCTGGAGAGATGGCTCAGTGATTAAGAGCACACTGCCTGCTCTTCTGAAGGTCCTGAGTTCAATTCCCAGCAACGACATGGTGGCTCACAACCATCGGTAATGAGATCTGGTACCCTCTTCTAGCCTGCAAGCATATATGCAGGCAGAACACTGGATACATATATATAAAAAAAGGTCATCCTCATTACATAGCAAATTCAAGTCCAGTCCAGGATACATGAAATTTTGCCTATAACAAAATTAAAGTATCTGCAGAGTAAACTCGAATTTTGTTTCCTTTGAAATAATTCTTGAGGCCATGAATAAAATAGCACACAAACAGCCCATAACATAGGCATAAAAAATTACATTCAACATAAGTAGCTATAAGTGCTTTAAGCTGTAGGCTAAATTTCTCACTAAAATACAGACCACCATCCTAGGCTGAATTTGCACCAACTTACAATTATTACCTCAGACTCTAAATTATCTATAAAACACAGCTAATTATAGAACCCACATTTGAGAACGGTTCTAAGAATTATTTTTGTAAATACAAGTGAATTGCCTAAAGAGGCCCTGGCACATAGGAGGTACTCAATATTCTCTATTTCTAATCCTGCTTGGAATTTATCTATAGGGGGAAAAAAGCTTTAGTAATAAAACTAGAGACTTCATCACAAGTATCCCACAATTTTTCTAAGTCCATTTTTTTCTTTGTTGTTTAGTGAAAAAGTTTTACTATGTAGGCCCTGAACTTGAGCTCCTCCTGCCTTGCTTCCTGAGTGGTGGAATTAGGAATATGGTACCACACCCATCTTAAATCCATTCTTAGCTTTCCCTCTTAACATGAATATACAAGGCGAATCAGTAATTTTGTTTAGCTCTTTTCCCACTTGGGTAAAAATAAAAACCATTTTACCTGTTCTAGTTAAGTTAGAACGTCAAAAGTCCAAACGGAAAAAAAGGGTTCAGAGGCTATTTCCTGAGTGATAAAAATATAAAAGTGCATAAAAACACCAGACCTTTACAAAATCTTGTTAGAAGAGATTCTTCAAGAAGTGTGGCATTAAGCTTATCCTTTCAAAAGGTCTTTGTAAACTGGTTGACTGTGGTAGCTCACTGCCAGTAATCCCAACAGGAGGATCTGAGGCAGGAGAGGCAGGTAGAGAGAATGGCTCTAAATCAAAACAAAGAGGTTGGATAAGGAAGTAGATTTACAATCCCAGGATTAGGGAAAGTAGAGATTGAAGGACCAGGACGTCCAGATTTATTTATTTATCTATCTATCTATTTATTTATTTGTTTGTTTTTTCGAGACAAGGTTTCTCTGTAGCTTTGGAGCCTGTCCTGGAACTAGCTCTTGTAGACCAGGCTGGCCTCGAACTCACAGAGATCCGCCTGCCTCTGCCTCCCAAGTGCTGGGATTAAAGGCGTGCGCCACCACCGCCCAGCGACTTCCAGACTTCCAGATCGCTGTCTACAAAAATTTTGACTGCCGGAGGCAAAGGCATGTGTATTTCTGTAAGTTCGAGGCCAGCCTGGTCTACAAGAGCTAGTTCCAGGTCAGGCTCTAAAACTACAGCGAAACCCTCTCTCGAAAAACAAAAAAACAAAACAAAACCCCACAAATCTTTGAAATAAATTTGTAATAAATTAGATAGGAAACAACTACAAACATACTAAAGTGCCTGTTCCCTCCGATTAATGCAACAAGGTAACTATATTTATACTTCAAAGAAACAACTTTAAAAGTTTTGCCCAACATGTATATTTTCTTTCATTAAGTGAAATTCACAGAATGTAGACAAAGAAAAGGGCAAACCCTGAAGAAACTAGTAATTTAAAATGAGAAGCCGAGCCGGGTGGTTGTGGCACACACCTTAAATCCCAGCACTTGGGTGGCAGAGGCAGACAAATCTCTGAATTTGAGGCCAGTCTGGCATACAGAGCAAGTTCCAGGACAGCCAAGGCTACACAGAGAAACCCTGTCAAAACAAGACAAAAAACATAAAGCCGTTATTTTGAACAACTTGGTCTTTGAATCCTGAAGACTGTTTCAATCGACAGAAAGCAGGAGGGAAAACTCAAGTTTTAAAAATACTTCTCCCCGAGCAGGGCGGTGGTGGCGCACACCTTTAATTCCAGCACTGGGGAGGCAGAGGCAGGAGGATCTCTGTGAGTTCGAGGCCAGTCTGGTCTACAAGAGCTAGTTTCGGGACAGGCTCCAAAGCTACAGAGAAACCCTGTCTCAAAAACAACAACAACAACAACAAAACCATTTCTCTCCACCTGTTAGTTGAACCAAATGAGGACCATACCCTTAAGCAATCAGAAAATCTTGCAATAAAATGTTCCAAAGGTCCACGAGTTCCCACAGTAGAATTACAAAGTCTCCCTTTCTTGGCCAGTCGTGCTGGTGCACTTTAATTGTAGCATTCGGGAGGCAGAGGCAGGCAGATCTCTGAGTTCGAGGTCAGCCTGGTCTACAGTGCTAGTTCAAGAACAGCCAGAGCTAAACAGAAGGGGAAAAAAAATCTGCCTCCAAAACACAAAACGGCAACAATAATAAACCCTTCCCCTTTTTTTGTGAAAAAGACAACCAACAGCGGAGAAATCAAAGGGATCCTCGCAAGGCGAAGCAGCAATTTCTCTGTCTAGTGGAGTTGCCAGATTTACAGACCAGAAAGATGCAGTGGGGGGAATGTTCACAAATAAAACAGCAGCTCAGAACTTTCTCCAAAAGTGTGCAACAGCTATCAACTTCAAGAGCCCCAAGCAAGGTCTCCTGTCGCTCAACTCCGGCGGGTCGGAGTCGTCGGGCGCCTTTCTCAAGGTCACGCCGGGTCCCAGGTCTGCGACCTTTCCCCACCGAAAAGGCGGCCGAACGCACCGCGCCCCTCTCGGCTCGAACTCTCAGCCCAGCAAGGTTCCGGGGTCAGGGAAACACCCCGCATGCTCTCCGCCGAGCTCCGCCGGGCCTGGGGCCCCGTGCGGCGGCGTTCCCGCCCAGACTTCCCCGGACCCGGCGCGCTTCACCTACCGTCGCTCTCGGCCCTGACGAGCAGGGACATGCCCTTCAGCCGCTCCACGTAGCCGGAGGACACATGGCCGGTGCCCCGGTCGTCCCACTGCCGGTCCTCGTTGAGCGTGTAGACCTTCACCCGCCGCCGGGTGTCGGTCATCGTGGCGGCCGGGGACCCCGCCCGAGTGGCCCGGGGACTGTGTCCAGGAAAGGCGGGCGGCCGCAAACGGGAGACTCCGGGCCCTCAGTGCCGCCGCTGGCCGCCGCGGAGCTGCGCCGCCGCTCGCATGGCCCGCTCCCGGGTCCGAGCCCAGAGCCGCCGCCTTCGCTCGCCGCCCCGCTCGCTCCTCGGCGCTATTGTCCGGCCGGGTGAGCGCGGCCGCCCGGTAGCCCCGACGGGGACGCGCAGCGCTGAGATGCCTACCGGCCCGCCGTTCACACAAGGGGCAGCTCGGTTCACAGCTCTGCTCCCGCCTCCGCCATGACCTCCGCAGAGCCGCTTCCCGCGCCGCCGCCGCCTCCTCAGGCCGCCGCCGCCATGTTTTCCTCTCTTGTACCTGGCCCTGCCGCCGCCGCCGCCGCCGGAGCCTTCGCTCCGCTCAGCTCCTCCCGCTTAAAGCATCCGAAGTGGACGAGCTAGCGCTGCCGGGGAGACTCCGAACGTCCCGGGCGACCTGAAAACCCCTAGGTCTTCTTAGAAGCCGCCTTCTCTACCCCACCGCGTCTTCCGTCTTCCTCACAGAGTCAAAGCCGCCGCCATCTTGACTCGCCCCTCAAAAGCGGCGCGCGGGGCCACCTAGGCAGCGGCGGCAGGGGCGGCCCGCAGGCCCCACCACTTAAAGAGACAGGCCCCGAGCCAGCAGCCTCGCTGCGGCGGAGGCCTCGCGCCGAGGCGGACCCGGAGCCGCGGGGGTGGTGGAGCGGAGGAGGCGGGACGCGAGTCGCGCCGGTGTCGGACCGGGACTCCCTCGCGCTGCCCTGCACGTAGTGTCGTGCGAGCGCGGGCTGCGTAAGCGTCCGTCGCACCCTGAGTTCGTCATCAGCCCTGTTGTGGGCAGGGAAGGGGTGTGGAGTCGCTTGGCGGCCTAAGAACCAGTCTGGGTTTTGGACTCTGATCCGGTACCTCACCCTTCTCCTTGTGTGCTTTCTCCCGCCGCTTCCCGGGAGGGGGTGGGGGGAGGCTTTGGGTGGGGGAGGCTTTGGGGTCGGCCCCGGGGCACGGGCTTCTGGCCTCTTCCCTTGGTTTGAAATGAGAAGCTACTGGGGAAAAACCGTTGGGGCCGCGGCTGGCCTCGCACTGGCCGGACAAGTCTACTACACACTTGGCACGGTGTTCATTGCGCGGCACGGGTCGTTCTGAGCACCCACCTCCTTTTCTCTGCCGATTATCAGAGCTGATGTTCTTTTGCTTGTGTGTGTGTTAAACAAAACAACAACACGTCTTGAAGGCCTTGCAAAGATAAATGCAGTACTGTAAGATCAAGATGAATTTCTTTTTGTTTTGTTTTTGTTTTTTGAAACAGGGTCTCACTATGTTGCTCTGACCGGCCAAAGCAATGTATGTGAGAAGCTGGGACCTTCCTCACCCACAACTTGAGAGACAAGAGGAAGACATGTCTGAAAACGTTTGCAAACAAAATTGGCAAGTATGGAAAAACAAAGCCGTTGCTTTAGCCACTGGAATCCAATTGTTTCCAGTATCTAGATGGAGCCCATGGACTATCAAGCAGACCAGATTATCAATCAGTATGTTGCACTGGTGTGCTGATTGTTTTAAAGCAGTGGTTCTCAACCTTCCTAGTGCTGCGACCTTTTAATACAGTTCCTCATGTCGCGGTGACCCCCAACCATAAAGCTATTTTGTTGCTGCTTCCTAACTATAATTTTGCAATCGTAATGTAAATATCTGATACGCAGGATATATGCTGTGCATCCCTGAAGGGGTTGTGACCCATGAACCTCTGTTTTAAAGGAACTTGGAGATCAGCTAGGAGAGGCTGCACCCTGGATAGTTCCTTATTTGCTTTAATTCTTTACCCATCAAAGAGGAGATTTGCTTTCAGTCCTCTTTGGAACTTTTGCTGGAGAAAGAAAACTGGAATAAAGCACACCTAGCCAGAATGACAGTATCTGCCTCTTAGATGATAAAGGACATTATTTACAATCTAATTTGTGTCTTCTGGAGTCATTCACCTCTGAAATAGTTTTGTTCTAAATTGTCTAAGTTGCTAGACTCTGGCTCTCCCTGTCCCACTCCCCTCTCCCCCCAAAAAGTGCATTTTAGGGACTTTGAATCAGGCCCAATCAGGATTTGCACTTCTCAGAATTTCAGAATAGCCAGTGTCCAGCAGACGCTGTTTACTAGTGAAGCTTTAATATAGACTACACAGGGGATTAAGAGGAAGTGAGGAGCCCAGAGGGACATTCTCCAGTACATGAGTATAGGCTTCTCAAAGAGTCAGTTTGTCAATTATTTTTACTTTTCCCCACACAATAGTCAAATACAGAATTTGAGTGGGTTTTGAAGTTACTATCTTCAAAAGGTTACTGAGGAATCTGAATGAGATCTGCAGCGCAATCCACAAGATTAGAGTTAAGAAGGTAAAACTCTAGATCACAAGGACTGTAGATAATGTTGGCAGTCTTAATAAATTTGCTGAAAATGCCTGAGGAAATGAATGAGACCCTCCCTACGGTTGTGTACATTCAGGCCTTAAGCATTGCTATTTTATATAACACACACACACACACCACAAGGGACTATATGTTGGGGCAATGTTCATAGCAAATATTGTTACAGAGAAATTCTTGCTTCTCAGCTTCAGTCACTATGATGGCATCTCTGTTGACATCAGACTGTGCCTTGTTCTAAGTTACTCCATAGTGTATGAAACAGTTCAGGCTGTGTCTTGCCCTAGGAGACCCCATTTTCCAAGCAGCTCTTGATTCCATTTTGAGGGAGAAGGATGACTGCACCCCTTGGATGAACCCATAAATTTTATCATCTGTCGAGTACCATCCACTTGCCCCAGACTGATAAATTACATTCCTGGGACTATAAAGGGAGCTACCCTATGAATTGAGAATGTAGGAGGACAAGGGTCTATTAGAACATCAGGGATGTTTATGCTACTTTTCTGTTACCGTAACAACACCATGATACAGGCACCTTGCTGAAGCAATAGCTCAGAGCTTGTTTTTTGGGATTACTATCATGAGGCAGAGAGAGCTGTCTTGGAATAAAATGGGGTGTTGAAACCTCAAAGCCAGCCTCCATTGGCACACCTCCAACAAGGCCACACCTCCAAATCCTTTTCAGACAGTTCCACCAAGCATTCAGATATAGCCTATGGCAACATTCTCATTCAAACTACCACAAAGTGGGCTAAAGAGATGGCTCAGCATTAAGAGTGCTGACTGCCCTTCCACAGGAAGCAGGTTTGAGTCTCAGCAAACAAACAATGGCTAGCAACCATCTGTAACTCAGGTTCTAGGGGATCCAATGCCCTCATCTGGCCTCCATAAGCTCTGGATGGTGCATATGTGTAGGTACAACACCCATGCACATAAAAATAAAAAGCATTAGGGAAACAAATTCGAAGAACATGCAGACCATGCCAGACTAAGGGAAAGGAATAATACCCAGACCCCACAAAGGAATAGATACCGAATACTGTGATGGCATGGGCTACACCAAGCTATCATTATTATCATCCAATAACCAGAGAACTCCCTGTCCTGGAGTCTCTGCTGGGTCTCCTGCTGTTGATCTGGTCTGCTTGACTGCCTCCCATCTACCTGTTGGCCCATCTAGGGAACCTGGACCCACCCTTGGATCCAGATTGGGTCTTCACCCTCTAGCTGAAGTAGATGGTCATTCTCAAACTGTAGCTGCAGTACCAGCTACCTTCTGGCACTGGTCTGGTTTATTTTATCAATACAGACTCAGTCCCTGTCTGAAAACACCTACTGCAGGTTTGTAGACTGGCGTTCATTCTCTAAACCACACACACACACACACACACACACACACACACACACATTTACTGTATTGTGTGTGATAACAGTTAATCCTGGTGGCTTAAATGAAAATGGCCCCCATAAGCCCATAGGTAGTGGCACTATTGGGATGAGTGGCCTTGTTGGAGTGGGTGTGGCCTTGTTGAGTGTGGCGGACTTCTCAACCGGCGACAAAGAATGACCACCACACCAGGATTCCACTCAGATCACGCTTTTACTGGAGTGCCCTTGATTGATGGGGAGCAGGGAACGAGAGGGCGGGAAAACGAGGAACAGGGAGCGAAGGGGCAGGGAGCGAAGGGGAGAGGCAGCAGGTGTGTGTGCGTGTGTGTGCTTGTATATGTGTGTGTGTGTGTGTGCGTGTGTGTGCGCACGTGTAGGTGTATCTTTCCATTATTTGGTCCTTTGGTCCTGGGGACAGAACTTGGGTTGTCAGGCTTGGTAACAAGTGCCTTTCTCTGCTGAGCCATCTAACTAGCCTTCAATTTTGTCTATTTTTGATGCAATGGGAAATTAAGTTTAGACATATGTTGATTAACTTTTACATATACAAATCAAAACAAACAGTAATGTATAGAAAACTAATACTTTAGAGCCCAGCAGCTGTATAAGCAAGAGAACCCGACTTCAGATTGTAGCACCCATGTAAACGAAAAAACTGCGTATGTATGAAGTCAACTTGTCTCAAAACTACAAGAACAAAAATAATTTACAGTGACAAAGTTGCTAAACATCAATTTTAGGGGCATACACGTCAGAATCACAATGAGAGGATTGGGGGGCTGTTATCCAAAAAGCAGAAAAAAGCGAGTGTTCTCCAGGACCTGGAAATGTTGGGGACCCTGAGCACTGTCAGTGTAGAAGCCCTGGGTATAGCTGGAAACAGGATGTTTTATTTAAAACAACCCCCATCCCCACACATACGTGGTTGGTTTTTGTTTTTGCTTTGTTTTAGAGACAGACTCTCACTATACATCCCTGGTTGGCCTGGAAGACACTACTTAAACTGCCTGCTTCTGCTTCCTGAGTGGTGGGATTAAAGGCGTGCACCAACATGCCCTGTCCAAAACAGAAGTTGTTGAATGACTCAGCAATTTTACTTGTAGATATAGATTCAAAAGAACTAAAACCAAGATATTTGTACCCCTATGTTCATAGAAGACTTGTTCACAATACCGAAAAGATAAAAAACAAAAAACAAAACAACAACGAAAAATCCAAAGCCGGGCAGTGGTGGTGCACACCTTTAATCCCAGCACTTGGGAGGCAGAGGCAGGCGGATCTCTGTGAGTTGGAACCCAGCCTGGTCTACAAGAGCTAGTTCTGGGACAGGCCCCAAAGCTACAGAGAAACCCTGTCTCAAAAAAATCAAAAACAAACAAACAAACAAACAAACCCCCAAACCCAGAAACAACCCAGAAAGGCCTTTGGATAGTAGCTATCCGAAACATGGAATGAACACTAATATATGCCCATACAATATGATGTTATTTGGCCCTAGAAAAGAATGAGGGTAAGGTGGCTTGAAAGAAATAATCTCCAAAGGTAGTGGCACTATTGTGAAGCATGGCTTTGTTGGAGTAGGTATGGCTTTGTTGGAAGAAGCGTGTCACAGCAGAGGCAGGCTTTGAGGTCTCATATGCTCAAACCATGTCCAGTTTACTTTTTGTTGCCTGCTGATCAAGAGTAGGATTGTCAGCTCCAGCACATGTCTTACTGCACACCACCACGTTCCACCATGATGAAAATGGACTAAATCTCTGAAACTGTAAGCCACCCAATTAAATGTTTTTCTTTATAAAAGTTGACATGCTCAGCCTTTAATCCCAGCACTGGGGAGGCAGAGGCTGGCGGATCTCTATGAGTTCGAGGCCAGCCTGATCATCTACAAGAGTTAGTTCCAGGACAGGCTCCAAAGCCACAGAGAAACCCTGTCTCGAAAAAAAAAAAAGTTGACATGCTCATGGTGTCTTTTCATGGCAATAGAAACCCTAACTAAGACAGAGGGTTAGGAGTATGGCTCAGTTATACCATGCACAAGGCCCTAGGTTTAATCTCAGCACCTAGGTTAAAAAGGAATGAAACTGTAAGCCACCCAATTAAATGTTTTTCTTTATAAAAGTTGACATGCTCAGCCTTTAATCCCAGCACTGGGGAGGCAGAGGCAAGGGGTTCTCTGTGAGTTCAAGGCCAGCCTGGTCTAGTTCCAGGACAGGAACCAAAAGCTAAGGAGAAACCCTGTCTCGAAAATTAAACAAATAGGGCTGGAGAGATGGCTCAGAGGTTAAGAGCATTGCCTGCTCTTCCAAAGGTCCTGAGTTCAATTCCCAGCAACCACATGGTGGCTCACAACCATCTATAATGGGGTCTGGTGCCTTCTGGCCTGCAGGCATACACACAGAATATTGTATACATAATAAATAAATAAATTAAAAAAAAAGATTAAAAAAAAGAAAATTGAACAAACAAACAAACAAATAAATAAATAAAGGTGTGTGACAGCACTGCCTGACCTCTAGTGACTTAGTTTTACTGTCTGATCTTCAGGCAAGCATTTATTAAAACATAAATAAAATATAACTATAATTACCTGCGAAGGGCCTTGAGATATCTTAGCGGGTAAAGGCACTTGTTGCTAAGCCCAAGGATCTGAGTTTGGTTCTTGAAACCAACATGATGGAAGGAGAGAACTGATTCTCCTCTGACAGCCACACACCCCTCCCCATCTCACAGAAACAAAATACATGTTAAAAAAGTCACTTTCAAGTTCTTTGACATTTTTCTAAGACATTTTCCAAAGACTCCAAGAATGAAATCTTTAATAGTTGTGATCATGCATGCCTTAGTTCCAAATTCTTGGGGAAGAAGACACAGATGGATCTCTGTGAGTTAATGGAGTCTTGGTAGGGGTTGGAGAGCTAGTGCAGGAGATCCCTTGCTGCTCTTGCAGAGAACCTAGATTCAGTTGTCAGCATCCACACTGGGCAGCTCGCAATCTGTACCTCCAGTTATAGGTGATTTGACATTCCCTGCTGGCCTCTGTGGGTATCTGCGCAAAGTAGGAGCATATGTATTCATTCACACTCAGTTACACACACATAAAATAAATACCTTTTAAAAATGGAATCTTGGAGCCGGGAGTATGGGTGCGTGTCTTTGATCCCAGCACATAGGAGACAGAGGACAGCCTGGAGAGTTCCAGGATGGTCAGGGCTACACAGAGAAATCCTGTCTCCATAAAAACAAAATACAAACAAACAAGCAAACAAACAAACATGGAGTCTTGGGACTGAGGATGTAGCTCAGTTGGTAGAATGTTTGCTTAATGTGACCAAAAACCTGGACTCAATCCCAAATGCTGCATAGACCAGGTACGGTAGAGTATGCCCGTAATCCCCAGCACTTGGGAGTTGAAGGAAAAAAAGATCCTAAATTTAATATCATCCTTGGCTTCACAACAAGTATGGGCCTTCTATACCATATAAGAACATGTCTTGCCGGGCGGTGGTGGTGCACTCCTTTAATCCTAGCACTTGGAAGGCAGAAGCAGGTGGATCTCTGTGAGTTCGAGGCCAGCCTGGTCTACAAGAGTTAGTTCCAGGGCAGGCTCTAAAACTACAGCAAAAGCCTGTCTCGAAAAACCAAAAACAACAACAAAATAAAAAAGAAGAACCCGTCTCAAGATGGCTGTGGCAGAACATGCCTCCCAACACTAACACTTCGGGTGCCGAGGCAGTAGGATCACGAATTTGTGGACATCAAGGACTATATAGTGAGTATGAGGTCAGCAGGAGCTAAATAATGAGACCCTACCTCTGTAGCCCAGGCAGGCCTTGAACTTTCTAAAACCTATCCCTCCAAACCACCAAATTAAAACAAACAAAAGCAATGACATCACCACTTCCCTCCTCAGACCTGGGCAGATCACCCCAACATGTTTGTGCCCCACAGAGGGAAGCAGGATTGATGCTATTGACATCAGAGAACAGGGCAGAGCTGGCAAGCCTGCTTCTGTCAAAATGCTTTCTGTGGGGGAAACCGGCCACCATGTAAGTGCTCTGCCAGAAAAGCCACCTGTGGCTGCACAGGTGCAGGGAGCCCTGGCTGAGCTCCAGATGACAGCTCTCAACAGCTGCGGCCATGCGTGTTTCTTAGAGAATGGTGCAGCTGGTGTTTCACTGTAACTGCAGGAGAGGCCTCGGGCCAGGGTCTGCCTAGCCAAGCCTTCCCATTCCTGACCCAGAGTCCAAACATGTTAAAACGCTTGGCCCAGAGCACGGCTTTAGGAGGTTATGCACAACACAGATTCAATAGGAAACAGATAACAATCTGCATAATCAAGTCTACTTTTTTCGTTTTTTGGTTTTTTGAGACAGGGTTTCTCTGTGTAGCCCTGGGTGTCCTGGAACTCACTCTGTAGATCAGGCTGAATCACAGAGATTCATTTGCCTCCCAAGTTCTGGGATTAAGGGTGTGCACAACCATACCCAGGGAGTCTACTTTCAAAGAGGGTAGAAATACATTTGATCAGGACTGAATAAGTAGGATCTAGTTAGTTTGTGTTTTTATTATTTTGTGGTACTAGAGATCTAACCCACGGCTGGTGCGTGCTACATTCCCAGCTTTCCTCAGAAGGCATGAGGACCCACCTAAAAGACAAGTGTAATTGCTTGTGCCTGCGTTCCCAGTACTGAGGAGTCAGCTGGCCAGCCAGTGTGGCCAGTTAGTGAGCTCTGGGCTCAGCAACAGATCCCAAAACTAAGGTGAAGGTGCAGGGGTAGCCCAGCTCATTGGGGGGCGTGTTCGCCTCAGGCTAATGTTTATGTATAAATCTGGCGGGCGTGAGCCCAGCCGGTCTCTTTTTTGTATCTCCTGCTCATCGCTGGATCCCTGGTATTGTAAGCTATCCCTTCATTAAAATTTGCTGTTTCATATTAAGCTAGCCTGGTTATTACGCCGCTTACATGAAGGGACTGGAAAGATGGCTCAGAGTGCTTGGTTCTATCCTGAGGACCTTAGCAGTCGGATCTTAGCATCCATATTGGGCAGCTCACAAATGCCTGTAACTCCAGCTCCAGGGGATTTGATATCCTCTTATGACTTTCATGTGCACCTGCACACATGTGTACACACACACACACACACACACACACACACACACAGAAATAAACTAAGATAGAGAGTGTTGAAGATACCCAATGTTGACTTCTGTCATCTAGACATATGCTATGCCCTTGCATGTACAGATACACAAACACACACCAAACATACAAGACACATGAAAAAACCCTGCTGGTAATGGTAATATATACAGTGCTTTTATGCAATGGGTTTTCTTTTTTTTTTGTTAGTAATGGGGATTGAACTGAAGGCTTTTCACATGCTAGGTAGGCGATCTACTGCTAAGTCATATTCCCAGCTTTTAATTAATTTGTTTATTTAACATGTTGTGTGTGTGATGTATATGCATGAATGTGGACATGCAATGCATGCCTGTGGAGTTTAGAGGACAACTTTCAGGAGGTGATTCTCTTTTTCCTTTTTTTTAAAGATTTATTTATTTATTGTGTATACAACATTCTGCCTCCATGTATGCCCATATGCCAGAAAAGGGCACTAGATCTCATTATAGATGGCTGTGAGCCACCATGTGGTTGCTGGGAATTGAACTCACGACCTCTGGAAGAGCAGCCAGTGTTCTTAACCACTGAGCGATCTCTCCAGCCCTGGTGATTCTCAAAACTAAGGTGAAGGTGCAGGGATAGCAGCTGCCCAATATGGATACTAAGATCCGACTGCTAAGGTCCTCGGGATAGAACCAAGCACTCTTTCTGAGCCATCTTTCCAGTCCCTTCATGTAAGTGGCATAATAACCAGGCTAGCTTAATATGAAACAGCAAATTTTAATGAGGGGATCGCTTACAACACCAGGGGTTCCATAGCTAGTACTTTTACCTGCTGAGTCATTTTGCTCAGCCACATTCCCAGTCTTTGAATTGTTTTTTTATTTTAAGAAAAGATTGCCCAGGTTGACTACAGACTTATTGTATATGAAAGGTTGACCTTGAATTTGTCCTTCTCTTATCTAAGCCTCTGGAGTACCTGGGGTCACAGACCTGCACAACCCCGCCTGGCTGTGTTACACGACCTTTTGAGCACAGTCTAGATGTCTGGTTCTAAGACTTGAACTGGTAGAGATCAGGTATTGTCAGACCAACTCCACAGTAATTGTATAGATATACAGACTGAACACTACAAATACAGATATTTGTACTAAAATGCTGTGCTAGTTTTGTTTTTATATGAGTGACCTCTACATTTTAATTAAATTGGATTTTAATTCCTTCCTTCCTTCCTTCCTTCTTTCCTTCCTTCCTACCTTTCCTCCTTCCTTCTTTTGCAGGCAGGGGGACCAGTCTGTGACAGGGTTTCATGTGGCTCAGACTGGTTTTGAAGTCACTGCAAACTTCCTGCTTCAGCTTCCTGAGTGCTGGGCCTGCGCTGAGTGGGTAGCAATGCACCACCACACCAGGCAGTGGAATTTAGTTTTCTTTTACAGTATTTGAAGTTGAATCAAAGAAACATATGAAAAATTGGCAATATAGATTGAGCATTGCACAAGATGTTTACCTGTAATTCCAGCGCTTAGGAGGCTGAGGTAGGAGGATTGAAAATTCAAGGCCAGCTGGGTGGTTGTGGTGCACGTCTTGCCTTTAATACCAGTACTCAGGAGGCAGAGGCAGGTGAATCTGTGAGTTTGAGGCCAGCCTGGTCTACAAGAGCTAGTTCCAGGAAAATTCAAGGCCTACCTGGGCTATGTAGTCAGACACTACCTTTATTAGAGGTTTGTTTTATTTTTATGTGTAAGTGCGTGTGTGTGTGTGTGTGTGTGTGTGTGTGTGTGTATGTATACATCTATGTATGTGCATTTATATGCATATGTATGTGTTGGCCTGTATATGAGTTTGTGTGTGTGTGCCTGCAGGGACCAGTAGAGGTTGTCTGATCTTTTGGAGCTGGAGTTATAGGCGGCGGTGAGCATCTCAGTGTTGGTGTTATGAACTGAATCCAGCCTTCCACAAGAGCAACCACTGCTCTTAGCCAGGAGTCATCTCTCCAGGTCCCAGACACAGCTTTTTTTTTTTTTTTAAATCAATACAAGTTTAAAAAGAGCGAGTATACTATCTTCCTTTTTAACTGACTAAATGGGAACACTGTTTTGGAGCACTAGGTAAAGGTCAGTGCCATTTCTCAGCCTCAACACCGAGCTAATTAAACTGAGAGTGGACACTTGTAAGATTAGCGCGCAAGGAGAGAGGTCACGGCCCAATAATCTGTTTCTCAGCAAAGTGCGATTTTAGGAGGTCATGAAGAATTCCAGAGCTCAGTGGAAGGCTAGAGCAGAAGCCGAGAGAGCCCAGAGAAGAGCTAGGCAGGCCGAGAAAGGAAAAGGGCAGGTTGTATTGTCATACACTAAGGCCAGGGACTAGCTTTTATGCCCGCTTGTGTCTTTTACAGGATGACTCTCCTTCTCTCCAGTGCTTCCCTCCTTTGACCACGGTGACAGGTGTGACTCAGGATCCCAGGTCTATCTGTGAACCAACCTTTGTCCTTAGTTATCGATGGGAACTTTGTACTGGCCAAATGGCAGTTTTAGTTTTCTCAGCTGTGAGTATGTGTATGCTATAATGGTGAGAAGAAAGTATGGTGTGGGGAGGTGGCGTGGGGTGCAGCTGGAGAGACAATTCGGTGGTAAAGAGCACTGGTCCCTATTCCAGAGGACCCAGGTTCAATTCCCAGGGGATCTGATGCCCTCCTCCTGGCCTCCACAGGCGTGCACATTGTGTACAGACACACGGACGTGCAAAATACTCATAAAAATAATAAATAATTTTTTATATTTATTTATTTATTTATTTATTTATTATGTATACAATATTCTGTCTGTGTGTATGTCTGCAGGCCAGAAGAGGGTACCAGACCTCATTACAGATGGTTGTGAGCCACCATGTGGTTGCCGGGATTGAACTCAGGACCTTTGGAAGAGCAGGCAATGCTCTTAACCACTGAGCCATCTCTCCAGCTTCAATAATTTTTTTTATTAAGAAAAGAAGAAAAAAACATAAACAAAAAACAAGTTTCCACCTCCTCCCAGCCTCCCATTTCCCTCCCCCTCCTCCCACCCTTCTCCCCCTCCCCCCACTCCTCTCCCCCTCCCTCTCCAGTCCACAGAGCAGTCCTGGTTCCCTGCCCTGTGGTAAGTCCTAGGTCCTCCCCCCTCCGTCCATATCTAGGAAGGTGAACATCCAAACTGGCTAGGCTTCCACAAAGCCAGCTCATTAAGTAGGATCAAAACCCAGTGCCATTGTCCTTGGCGTCTCATCAGCCCTCATTGTTCGCCATGTTCAGAGAGTCCGGTTTTATCCCATGCTTTTTCGGTCACAGTCCAGCTGGCCTTGGTGAGCTCCCAGTAGATCAGCTCCACTGTCTCAGTGGGTGGGTGCACGCCTCGTGGTCCCGACTTCTTTTCTCACGTTCTCCCTCCTTCTGCTCCTCATTGGGACCTTGGGAGTTCAGTCCAGTGCTCATGTGTGGGTCTCTGTCTCTATCTCTATCCATCACCAGATGAAGGTTCTATGATGATATGCAAGATATTCGTCAGTATTGCTCTAGGATAGGGTCATTTCAGATTCCCAATCCTCAGCTGCCCAAGGAACTAACTGGGAACCTCATCTTGGGCACTTGGGAGCCCCTCTAGGGTCAAATCTCTTGCCCACCCTAAAGTGGTTCCCTTAACTAAGAATTGTGGTTCCGTGCTCCCCAAGTCCCCCCTCCTTCCCTTCTACCTTTTCTCTCCCCATCTCCCCTTACCCCCATCCCACCCCACCCCCAAGATCCTAATTTTCTCCCCGGCAATTTGGTCTACTTCCCTTAGCCAAGAGGATAACTATATGTTTTTCCTTGGGTTCACCTTCTTACTTAGCTTCTTTAGGTTCACCTATTGTAGACTCCGTGGCCCTTATTTATGGCTAGAAACCAATTATGAGCGAGTACATCCCATGTTCATCTTTTTGGGTCTGGGACACCTCACTCAGGATAGTGTTTTCTATTTCCATCCATTTGCATGCAAAATTCGAGAAGTCATTGTTTTTTACCGCAGCGTAGTACTCTAGCATGTATATATTCCATACTTTCTTCATCCATTCTTCCATTGAAGGGCATCTAGGTTGTTTCCAGGTTCTGGCTATTACAAATAATCCTGCTATGAACATAGTTGAACAAATGCTTTTGTCATATGATAGAGCATCTCTTGGGTATATTCCCAGGAGTGGTATTGCTGGGTCCAGGGGTAAGTTGATCCCGAATTTCCTGAGAAACCGAAACACTGACTTCCACAGTGGTTGCACAAGATTGTATTCCCACCAGTAATGGATGAGGGTACCCGTTCCTCCACAGCCTCTCCAGCAAAGGTTATCCTTGGTGTTTTTGACTTTAGCCATTCTGACAGGTGTAAGATGATATCTCAAAGTTGTTTTGATTTGCATTTCCCTGATTGCTAAGGAAGTTGAGCACGACTTTAAGTGTTTTTTGGCCATTTGAACTTCCTCTGCTGAGAATTCTCTGTTCAGTTCAGTGCCCCATTTTTTAATTGGGTTAATTAGCATTTTAAAGTCTAGTTTCTTGAGTTCTCTATATAATTTGGAGATCAGACCTTTGTCTGTTGTGGGGTTGGTGAAGATCTTCTCCCAGTCAGTAGGTTGCCTTTGTGTCTTAGTGACTATGTCCTTTGCTTTACAGAAGCTTCTCAGTTTAAGTAGGTCCCATTTATTCAATGTTGCCCTTAATGTCTGTGCTTCTGGGGTTATACATAGGAAGCCATCTCCTGTGCCCATCTCCTGTAGGGTACTTCCCACTTTCTCTTCTATCAGGTTCAGTGTGTTCGGGCTGATATTGAGGTCTTTAATCCATTTGGACTGAAGTTTTGTGCACGGTGATAGATAAGGGTCTATTTTTATTCTTCTACAGGATGACATCCAGTTGTGCCAGCACCATTTGTTGAAGATGCTTTCTTTCTTCCATTGTATACTTTTAGCTCCTTTATCAAAAATGAGGTGTTCATAGGTTTGTGGGATAAAATCCGGTCTTCTATACGATTCCATTGGTCGACTTCTCTGTTTTTATGCCAGTACCACACTGTTTTCATTACTGTAGCTCTGTAATAGAGTTTGAAGTCAGGGATGGTAATGCCTCCAGAAGATCCTTTATTGTATAGGATTGTTTTGGCTATCCTGGGTTTTTTGTTTTTCCATATAAAGTTGATTATTGTCCTCTCCAGATCTGTGAAGAATTTTGATGGGATCTTGATGGGGATTGCATTGAATCTATAAATTGCCTTTGGTAGAATTGCCATTTTCACTATGTTGATCCTCCCAATCCAAGAGCAAGGGAGGTCCATCCATTTTTTGGTATCCTCTTCAATTTCTTTCTTCAATGCCTTAAAGTTCTTGTCAAATAGATCTTTCACTTCCTTGGTTAGATTTACCCCAAGATATTTTATGCTGTTTTTGGCTATTGTGAATGGTGAAGCTTCTCTGATTTCCCTCTCTGCTTCCATATCCTTTGTGTATAAGAGGGCGACTGATTTTTTGGAGTTGATCTTGTATCCTGCCACATTACTAAAGCTGTTTATCAGCTGTAAAAGTTCTTTGGTGGAGTTTTTGGGGTCGCTTATGTACACTATCATATCATCTGCAAATAACGAAAGTTTAACTTCTTCTTTCTAATTCGAATCCCCTTGATTCCATTATGTTGTCTTATTGCTATTGCTAGAACTTCAAGCACTATATTGAAGAGGTATGGTGAAAGTGGACAGCCTTGTCATGTTCCTGATTTAAGTGGGATGGCTTTGAGTTTCTCTCCGTTTAATTTGATGTTAGCTGTCGGCTTGCTGTATATAGCTTTTATTATATTTAGGTATGACCCTTGTATCCCTAATCTCTCCAAGACTTTTAACATAAATGGATGTTGAATTTTGTCAAATGCTTTTTCAGCATCTAATGAAATGATCATATGGTTTTTTTCTTTCAGTGTATTTATATGCTGGATTACATTGATAGATTTTCGTATGTTGAACCAGCCCTGCATCTCAGGAATGAAGCCTACTTGATCATAATGGATAATTTTTCTAATGTGTTCTTGGATTCGATTTGCCAGTATTTTGTTGAGGATTTTTGCATCGATATTCATGAGTGAGATTGGCCTGTAGTTCTCTTTCCTGGTTGAGTCTTTGAGTGGTTTTGGTATCAGAGTAATTGTGGCTTCATAAAAGGAGTTTGGTAATGACCCTTCTGTTTCTATATTGTGGAATACATTAAGGAGTATAGGTATTAGATCTTCTTGGAAGTTCTGGTAGAATTCCGCATTGAAACCATCTGTTCCTGGGCTTTTTTTGGTAGGGAGGTTTTTGATAACCTCTTCTAATTCTTCGCGACTAACAGGTCTATTTAGATTGTTCACCAGGTCCTGATTTAACTTTGGTATATGATATTTATCTAAAAAAGTATCCATTTCCTTTACATTTTCCAATTTTGTGGCATATAGGCTTTTGTAGTAAGATCTAATGATTCTCTGAATTTCCTCTGTGTCTGTGGTTATGTCCCCCTTTTCATTTCTGATCTTATTAATTTGCAAATTCTCTCTCTGCCGTTTGATTAGCTTGGATAGTGGTTTGTCAATCTTGTTGATTTTCTCCAGGAACCAGCTTTTTGTTTCATTGATTCTTTGGATTGTTTTCTGTGTTTCTACTTTGTTGATTTCAGCCCTCAGTTTGATTATTTCCAGTCTTCTACTCCTCCTAGGTGAGTCTGCTTCTTTTTTTTCTAGAGCTTTCAGGTGGGCTGTTAAGTCTCCAATGTGAGCTTTCTCTGTTTTCTTTAACTGGGCACTTAGTGCTATGTACTTTCCTCTTAGGACTGCTTTCATAGTGTCCCATAAGTTTGAGTATGTTGTTTCTTTATTTTCATTGAATTCCAGGAAGACTTTAATTTCTTTCTTTATTTCTTCCTTAATCCAGGTATGGTTCAATAGTTGACTGTTCAGTTTCCATGACTTTGTATGCTTTCTGGGGGTAGCATTATTGTTGAATTCTAATTTTAATCCATGGTGATCTGATAAGACACAGGTGGTTACTAATATTTTTTTGTAACTGTGGATGTTTGCTTTGTTACCGACTATGTGGTCAATTTTCGAGAAGGTTCCATGAGCTGCAGTGAAGAAGGTATATTCTTTCCTATTTGGATGGAATGTTCTATAGATGTCTGTTAAGTCCATTTGATTCATTACCTCCATTAATTCTCTTATTTCTCTGTTAGGTTTCTGTCTGATTGACCTGTCCATTGGTGAGAGAGGAGTGTTGAAGTCTCCTACTATTAGTGTGGGCGGTTTGATGGCTGCCTTGAATTTTAGCAATGTTTCTTTTATGTACGTGGGTGCTTTTATATTAGGGGCATAGATGTTCAGGATTGAGACTTCATCCTGATGAACTGTTCCTGTTATGAGTATAAAATG